CCCCAGGGGGTGCGCGACGCGCAGCTGCAGGACGGCGCCGTGCTGCTGCTCGTCAGCGACCCCAGGTGGCGCCCCGCCCGGCCCGGGCCCCTTCCCGGCCTCCCGGCCTCACGGCCTCCCCGCCGATCGCATTTCCTGCTGTTCTCTCCACCTCTGTCTCTTTGTCTCTCTCCGCATGTCCCTGTCCGTTTCTGTCTCTGCTGTTTTCCCTCGGTGTCTCTCTGTCTCTCTATCCATTTCTGTTCCTGAGATTGATCGATTGACTGATGATTGATTTTTGGAGAGGTTTTTGCTACAGGGCGCGTGCACTCGCCAGAAAGACAGAGACAGAGAGACAGAAAGCGAGAAATCACCCCCAGGGGGGATGGTCACGCTGCAATCCCTTCTCCTCCATTCTCCTCTCAGGATCTTGGGCACTCACACGCAGACGCGTGAGTTTAAGCCACCAGGTCCAGGACTCGAACCACGGTCGGCTACATGGGAGTCCAGCGACATAGCCATTAGCCAACTGCTGGTCCCCATCGTGCATATTTATTTTTATTCCGTGTCTCTAGGCTCTTGCTTTCTGTGTCTCATCTAAGACTTTTTTTTTAAATATTTTTTTTTACTTTATTTATTTTTAAATTTTATTTGATCAGAGAGGGACAGAGTGAGAGAGAGAGAGAGAAAGTAAGAAAGCAAGCCGCCAGGCCTGGGACTCAAACTGTGGTCAGCCATGTGGGAGTCCAGCGCCCTAACCACCACGCTGCCTGCCGGCCCCAGTATCTGGTCTGTTTCTGTCGGTTTTTCTTCTCTCAGCATCCTCATTCATGTCTGTCTCTGCTGGTTTTCTCTCCATGTCTCTCTGTCTCTTTTGTCTCTGTCTCTCCCTGTGTCTCTGCTGCTTCTTTTTGTTTACTTTGCTATGGGACATGTGCACTTGCCAGAGAGAGACAGAGACAGAGACAGAGAGGGAAAGTGAGAAATCACCCCCCAGGGGATTGACCACATTACAGTCCCTTCCCCTCCATCCTCCTCTGGAGATTTTGGGCACCCAGGCGTGTTTTTCAAGCTGCTGGGTCCGGGACTCAAACTGTGCAGTCGGCCCTGTGGGACCTACACCACCCGCCGCCCTCCCCCTTGTGTGTCTCTCTCTGCTGTTTTATTTCTGTGTCTCTCTGTCTCTCGCTGTTCATTTTCATCTCTGTTTTCTCTGTGTCTCTGCGACTCTCCCTCCTCTCTTCCCCACCACCCTGAGGGGCGGTCCCCTGGCCAAGGTGACCCACAAGGACTGGTCTTCCTGGGGAAGGAGGGGTCTGCAGAGAAGGGGTCCAAGCCGTGGAACGGCACCAGCAGAGTCCCGGGGCCCCTCGGGAAGTGGGTGGAGGCCGGCGCTTGGTGTGGAGGCAGAGAGGTGGTGGTGGATGGCGGCCGGCAGGGGAGGTGCCAGCAGGCGGGGACTGCGCCCCTCTGTGTACACCTGGGGGTTAATGAGAGTGGCGTGCTGGATGCCTGGAGGCCTGGTCCACCATGTTTGGGATGATGTTGTGAGAGCAGGAGCCTCAGGTGCCATTCTGTTCCAGGAGGCTTGGGCGATAGACAACAACACACACACACACACATACACACACACACACACACACTGACACACTGTCTTCCTGGAAGAAAAGTCTCAGGGGTCAGGGCAGACGAGCGGGAGGAGGAGGGATGGGGACTCAGGACTCACGCTGGGAAAGAGGGCTCCTTCCTCAAGGCCTGGCAGCCAGACGGCCCTCCAACATCCACACCACAGTCACTGACCGTGCAGTCCCCGTTTTGTAAGTGCCTGCCCTGCCCTCTGGGGTCTAAGCTCACCCTCACGGAGCCTGTGGGCTAGTGGGCGAGGAAGACAAGGCGCCGGAGAAATATGAGCAGACTTCAACGTGCTCAAGGGCAAACAGAACTCAAGTATGACTTTACTGTGGTGCAAAACGCTCTTTTTAAAATGATGATTTCATTTTATCCATTATTATTATTCTATTTTTGTATACGATTACCAGAGAGAGAGAGAGAGTGAGAAAGTAAGGTGCCAGGTTCGGGACTCGAACTGCAGTCAGCCACGTGGGAGTCCAGCGCCTTAACCACCACGCCACCCGCTGGCCCCCTGAACCGCGTTTCTAAGCCACCTGCCCTGCAGACTGTAAACCTCTGAGGACTCAGCTGGCCGTCCGCGATCGCGGGCTCGTTCCTAGTTCTGGGCCTGGCTCGATGCCAGGGGGGGTGTGTTTGCTGCTCCAGGTACTCTCCTGGAGCTCAGGTGGTGCCTGGATGTGGGAAGGGGGTCCCGAGGCCACAGGTGAGTCCTGGCAGGTGCAGGAAGATGCGTCAACCAGACCGAGCAGAGCAGGGAGGCCGCGAGCGCCAAGGTGAGGGCCGTGTTGATCCTACATGTATCTCTCTGTCCCTGTCCTTCAGGTAGTCTGTGCCGGAGGAGGCGGAGCCATGGCCACAGGGATCCAAGGTGCTGGCTGAAGAGGCAGGTAGGGGGGGGGGCACTTTCAGGAGGTGCCTCCCCTGCCGGTCAGGAGCCCAGACTGCAATACAGGTGGGTCACTGTGGAAATATTGAGATGCAGAAGAGACCTTAGACATTGTGGAGACTATAGATCGGGAAACTGAGGGCCAGAGAGGACAAGGGGCTGGCCTCACTTTCTCATTTACGTTTAGGCTAATATGTGGGCTTCAGCTATGTTGCCCCCAATTTGCTGTGTGACCTTGGAGAAGTAGCCTCTCCTCTCTGGGCTTTTATCAGCCTCCTTAAAATGAAGGCCGAGGCTTTGGTTGGCAGGTTTAGTGTCATAGTGTTCTTTGCCTGCAATTCATGCAACTGCCACCAGGTAGCGATAAAAGCCAAGCCCCTCCCCACCACACACGCGCACCAGGAATGGTTCCCTGTCCCTCTTAAAGGGCACCAGGGACATAGGGTAAGGGGACATGACTGCAGTGTCACCATCCACATCAGCCCTATTAGGGAAAAGGGAAAGCCACCCCGGGTTTCACCCTCCGTGGGCTGACCTCTCCTCCTGCCTACTGCCCCAGGTTCTGGGCTCCTTGGTGGAGGGAGACACACCGACTTGTCCCATGGCCTCGATGTTCCTGATGGAGCCCTAGCCGCTGACTGACCCAGGACTGTGCCACACCTTTGCTCAAGCCATGGCCCTGCCTGGAATACCTCCCACACTCATCTCTGCCCGTCCAATCCACTGAGGCTTGGCACCTCCTCCAGGAAGTTCTCTAGGATTCCGTCCTTTCCAGCCAGTGGGCCCCTACAAACTCCCTGTGCTGTGACCAGCCCCAGCTGGGGGTGCAGTCAGTCACTAACAGTCTCAGCTGACCAAAGTCCTAGAGAGGACGTCCTCCTTGCTCTCCGTGGAGTGTAAACTGAGGCCTGTGGTGGTCTCTGGGGTGTAGAGCAGGGGGTCAGCACACACCCCTGCTCCTGCGTCCTGGGCCTCTGTAGCTGGGCCGCCCGCGCATGCGTGGAGCCCTGGGACTCCCGGCTGGCTTGCGCGGTCCCTCCCACGTCCAGCTTTCTCCAGCCCCCCCAAACACCTCCCCACCACGCACCTGTGCCCTTCCCCTGAAATCCCTACGCTTTACCCTCTCCACAGGGTCTCCTAGGCCGGCCTGCAGGGCTCTGGCCCAGGTCTGGGCAGTGGCTGGGCCTGGGGACACCCCCGCCCTCAGGCACTGGGTGCGAGTTCCAGGGAGAGACCCTCAGCGGAGCGCTAGGCCTGGGCTGGACCTCAGAGCTCCGGCCCCCCTGTGCGGAGGCCGCCGGGCCGGCTGCCTCTCCGGCCACATTCGCCTGCCTCTCAGGCCACATTTCTGGGCTTGGGGACCTCCCCCTGCCTGGCACCTGGAAGGAGGGAGCATGGGAGGGAGACAGACCCTGGAGAAGCCGGGGCCCCATATATGCCCAGGGAAGGGCTTCCTGTCCTCTCCTACCCTCCCCTCCAGCCAAGCCTGGCCCATGGCCCAGGGCTGCTCCTTGGGGGTCCTTCTTCGCCCCTGCGCCCCGGTCTAGTCACTTGTCTGGCTCTCTGTGCTCCTCAGGGACTCAGTCCAGTCCCCTACGGTCCCCTGTATCTAAGATGCACCTGTGCCCTCCGCCAGCACCTTCCTGGTGGTTGCGGCCTGTTTACTGATGGTGGCCGCCCTTCGGACTCCTGCCCCAGCAGCCCCTGAGCTCAGGGGTCCCCAGTCCTCGCAGGGACCTGCTGCAGGGCGGGGGGCGGTCCCTGCTTCTTGGTGGGGGAGGGGTGGGAGAAAGCATTTCCAGGAGGTTTGACATTTAACAAACAGGATGCAAATCGCATGCAAATCGCATGCAAATCACCAGCCGTTTCTTAAGCCTCGACAGCTCTGGCGTGTTCGGAAATAATGAGGTTGGCCCGGCCTCGGCCACGGCGGGGTGCAGGGTGCGGAGCCCTCCCGCCCTCCCCTTCCCTCTCCTGTCTTCCCTGCCTTCTCCCTCCTCCCCTCCCCGTTTCCTCCGTTTTCCTTCTTCCCTCCTTCCCATCTTTTGACGAAGGTCTCCCAGGCCCGAGATGAACATAAACCAGCGAAAGTGGCTTCCAGCACCCCATTTTCCAGATCGGGAAGCTGAGGCTCAATGGCCATGGGCCTGGCCGGAGGTCCCACAGCTACACGGTGGAAAGTGTCCCCCACCAATGATGGACCAAAATGGACGGCACCCGGGGTCCGGCGGAGAGGATGGTGGCAGGTGGTCAGAGCTCCCTCCTGGGGCTCCTGTCTGCAGAGTTGCCAGGGCCCCGGGAAGTGTGAGATCGCTTGGCTTTTTAGTTGAGATTTGGAGAACACGTACGCAAGCTCATTCCCCTCTTCCAGTCCTTACTTGCTAGTTCATCAGCATGTTCCCTGATTTCTGGCCACCACCCCTCCACATCCCTCCGGCTTTGTTCAGCAAGCTCCTATTCACCCGTCAAAGCCTCAGCTTCAGTGCCCACTTCTCCAGACAGTCATCTGTGATCCTGCGAGGAGAGCCTTCACTTCCCTCTGGACTCCTGCTGCTTCAAGTCTCTTCTGGCTGGCTAATCCGTGGAACTGGGGGGGCTGTGGCTCTTCCCAGCAGTCCGAGGAACTGTCCCAGTTTGGGACTAAGTACAGAGGGGCGTTTGAGTGTGTACAGAATAAAGGACTCCTTGTACTCGGCCTTTGAGGCTCCTGCGCGTCACTCCCCTACCTCCAGATCACGTGCTGTTCCCTTGGCAGGTCTGTCTTTCAGGCCTCTGACTCTGGGTGATCGGGGCCGGCCCCCTCTCTGGGCTATGAAACTGGGGGACGCCTCCCCACTCCCTCGGGATCCTGGCTCCACCCCAGGGGCAAGTCTGGGCTGTGAGGAGTTTCGGTGAGACTTGGCACCCGCCCGCCCTGCCTCTCTCCCTCTGGGGCCCGCGGCGTCCTGGGGAGGGCCGCCTCCTGCCTCCACTGCCCACCCGGATTGCACTCCCCGAAGGTCCTGGGGAATTTTCCTGGTTTCCAAGTCAGTCCAGGCGGTTCCCCGGGGCAGGTATCTGAGGCCCAGCCAGCAATGACAGGCATCTGGACTTCTCTCCGTCCTCTTCTGCAACCCCCAGCCACACTCTGGCAGCTTCCTAAACTGTGTCTTCATCCACCGGGCACTTCTTGTTTTTTAATTTTTAAATAATTATTTTTATTTAAATGATTTATTTATTTAAATTTGAGCAGAGAAGGACAGAACAAGAGAGAGAGAAGTTGAGAACGCAAGCCGCCAGGTCCAGGATTCGAAATGCAGTTGGCCATATGGGAGTCCAGAATCCTTAATCACCACACCACCTGCCGGCCCCATCCAACAGGCATTTCTGAAATCTCCATGTGCCCAGTCACGTGAGATCTTGAGAGAGAGCCCGGCTGCAGGGGACAGTGGGGCCGGGGACGGGTCGCTCACTGCCCCCCAGCACCCGGCCGCAGGGGTGGGAGGAGCAGGCGTAATTCCCTGGAAGGCTGCCGTGTAGCCAGTGTCCTGACCCTGCCCCGTCTCTGTCGCCCTCGCTGTTCCCCACACCTGTGCTCTGTTTCTGTTTTATGCCAGGGGTGCATGCTTGCAGAGAGACAGAGGCAGAGAGCGCCCCCTCAAAGGAACATGGTCACACCACGGTCCTCTCCCCTTCAAGTCTCCATCGGGATGGTGGGCACGCGGGCACCCAGCGTGTGTGTGTGTGCGGGTGCTCGTTTGTTTCTTGTTTAGAGGTTTTTGCCTCAAGCCACGCACACTTGCTGGATAGAGAGAGAGAGACAGAGAGAGGGAAAGTGAGAAATCACCCCCCAGGGAGATGGCCACGCCACAGTCCCTTCTCCTCCATTCTCCTCTTGGGATCTTGGGCACGCTACCAGGTCCGGGACTCAAACTGTGGTCGACTACATGGGAGTCCAGCATCGTCACTATTAGGTCATCCGCGGGCCCCATAAATAATTCTTTTTTAACCTTACTTTGTTCATTGTATTTGTTCATTTTAATTTGACCAGAGTGAAAGAGACTGAAAAGAAAAGCTGCCAGGTCTGGGACTCGAACCATGCTTGGCCATGTGGGAGTCCAGTGCCCTTAGCCACCATGCCACCTGCCAGCCCCTCACCCTAAATAATTCTTAAAAAAAAAAAAAATAGTGCTGGCCGCCCAGCCTTGCTGTCTCGGGCAGAGTTGCCAGCCTCTTCCCCGATGGCCCCTGGGTCTGTACTGAAGGCTGCTGGCCTCGCTCAGGGCTCTGGTTCGCTCCCAGGCCCCTGACTTAGCGACCTGGACCCTGTGCTTGGAGCTCCCCATTGTCGCCAGCCCCAGGGCCTTTGCAAAGCCCCTTCCCACCTTTAGCCTTTCACCCTCGCGATTGTCACTGCCGTGGGGAGGCCAAGAAGGAGTCTGTCCCCAGGATTTGTATCCCCACGACATTCCATGCCTTCCTCTGTAACTATTAATTATTCATGGTATTAGTCGCTCGCTCCGTGTCCGCTTGGCCCAGTAGCTCCAGGGCATCGTGAGGCTGGGACGCAGTCTGGGCCCTGGCCACGGCACGGCATTTAATAACATGGTGTCGGGGGGGTGGGGAGCCGGGACCCCGAGCCGCCCAGCACCGGGTGGCCATGGGGCGCCGGCTGGAGATTGGAATTCCGGGCGCTCCGGCTCCTGCCATGGTGATAAATGGGGGACAGTCGGAATTAATTACCGACTGCCCTGCTGAGCTGGCCCTATCTGGGCAGATGAAGAGTGTCGTCGGCCGCGTCCCCACACTCCTCGGGAGTTTATTAGAGGGTGGGAGGCGGCTGGCCCAGGGGAGATGGCCGGGAGAAGCCAGAGGAGCCCTTAGGGAGCCTTGGACCTGCTGGGCCGCTTTGGAGAATTCGCTGTCCCTCTCTGAGCCTTGGTTTCTCTAGTTTGGAGAAAGAGCCTGCTGGTGGCGTGGTGGCGAAGGAGGCTGCAGTCCACGTGACTGACCAGGGGGTTTGAATCCCCGGCTCACCAGGCAGGGGTGTGGGTGCCCAAAATCTCCAAGGAGAACGGAGGAGAAGGGATTGATTGTCGTGTGGCCATCCCCGCCCTCCTCACCCTCCCGGGGTGGGGTGCTTTCTCACTCTCCTCCCATCCCCCATCTGTCTCCAGCTAGCATACTTGCCCCTCAGCAAAGAAAGAAAAGGAGAGATACAACACACCTCCATCTGTCGGGATGACTTTTTAAAGAATTATTTAAATGGTCAGCAGGTGGCATAATGGTTACAGGCACCGGGTTCCCATATGACTAACTGCGGTTCGAGTCCCGGACATGGCGGCTTGCTTTCTCACTTTCCGTTTCTCTCTCTCTCGCTCTCTGTCTTTCTGGTCAAATAAAATTAATAATAATAATAATAATAATAATAATAACAACTGGAATTAAACCAATGCATAATTCTCTTTTTAATACTGACCTTTTATTTAGCTTTATTTATTTGTTTACATGTGATCAGGGAAGGGACGGTGAGAAAGAGGAGGGAGAAATGGAGGAAAAGGTTTGGGGCCTGCCCGCGCCCCATGGGGGTTCTTTCTCACTCTCTCTCCACAGGCATATAGCACATTTTTTTTAAAAAAGGAAAAAGTTGAAACAAAAACAGAACCGTGAGGGTGCACACAGTACGGAAGTGTTAAATAATGCCGGACTGGGACCCTCCACTCCTCACCCCTGCCTCAGCCCCCAGCACCCCTGGGAGCAGTCTCCTGATTAAACGTTAATTCCTGGTGGTTAAGCCCAGGGCACCAGAGGCCCCATCTCTGCAGGGGGAGGCGGGGTAGGGGCAGGCCAAGCGGGCCAGGCAGGGCTTCCCAGGGGAGAGGGTGGCCGCTGAGTGGCTGGAGTGGAAGTCCGCATTTAATTAGCCTGGAGGGGTCCATGAATGGGCCCAGAATCTGGCTGAGAAATCTGCTACTCCGCTCGGGCTCCGCGGAGAGTCCCACCATTTCCCTCTAAGCCGATTCCCCCTCGCCACTGTTTTCCAAAAAACGATCTATTTTAAAAATGCACCTTTATATCCTACCATAAAAATCCAGGATGAACGCACACACACACACATTTTCCCGGAGGCGCGGTGCACATCCGTTTGCGGGCCTGCACACGGACGCGAGTGAATCACAGGAGAATGACCGGCGGCCGCCGCCCGGAAAACAGCAGTCTCAGCAGAGCGCCAGCTCTCCCTGCTCCCTGCCCTGGATGGCTCGCGGTGGGGAGCTGGTGGGGAGCTGGGGGCCGACGGGC